TAAGTTTTTACATTTTAGCTATTTATGACAAATAGTGTTTCTCGGAAACTTTGTGTGAGTCATATTATGAACAATGTTACAGGGAATGCCAATCTGTCATATTATTTGTGTTATAAAAAAATAAAATGATAATTAGGAAATATCAAACTGGCTGTTACCCGTGATTTCGTCCGCGCGGAATTAAAAAAAAAACAAATAAATTAGTAGCATATCTGTTCAACTAGATTATGTTCTACATCTATGCCATATTCTGATACTGAAGATATCTTTTAACAAACATTCATTCATCCATACATCTAAATATTCACATTTATAAGCGTGAGCGCCAATAATGAGCCGTTTCGTATAATTTTCAAAAGAAGACTGAATAATATTTTTATTCTTTATAGATCACCAGTCTTACAAACTGAATATTTTTTTATTTTATTTTAAACCCTAATTTAAAATTATTCAGATTTAGCTGTTTTTAGGCGAAGAAATACACAATACAGAAAATATATGCATAAATAAAAATTAAATTTAACAACTTCTAAGCTTCTCGACTATTATTAACCTCCAAGAGTTACATTTACGTATTTTTTTTAATTTATATATCTTCTTCATTAATTCACTTAGGAGTTCTCTGAGCTAATCACAATAATGTAAAATATTTCATGTCTTAAAGTATCAACATATAACGATAAACTATCTTTATTGACGCATTAGGTAACGTAATCAAATTATCTAGTATTGCAACACTTCGCGGTTATAGTTAACCTTGAATAGGGCATATATCTATAAATATTTTCCTCCGATGCAAATTTATTTACAGGTTATGTCAATAGTGACTATATTATCTCAGATCTAGCATTTATGATACATAGCAACATTATTCTAATCACGATTCTTGTAATCAATAACATAGTAACATACCGTTATAAATTATAAATGCAATTAAGGAAAAATTATGTTTTATAAGACTTGTTTACCACGTGCTCCACAATGTGAAGTTGTTTTGTTATGAGACAACATCTGTGTGATCTTGAAAGAATTGTCTATTTTTTTTATATTTTTTTAAGTAAAATATTAGCAGATTTTTTTGTAAATTTACTAATATCTCTTTTACCATTCCAACTAAGCTCTATGCTTGTGCTAGGATATGGTTTACGACAATAGTCGAATGGCGGGATTCGAAACCCCGACCTCGTGATCGAAAATCCGTACCTTTAACCATTAGGCTATTGATGTTTTGATTGAATTGAACATACGTTTTATTTATAAGGACATAAAATATTGTTAATTTTTTTTATTGTAAAGACTTTTTTGTTCCATGCTAGCTGTTTTTGTCCGTTTAAAAGGTGTCCCATAAGACTACACAATTGACCTAAATGTACCGACCATGCGAATCGAATAATTATGCCCAGATTGAATCTCATGGTCGCAGTGACGTCATCATTAACTCATAGATTCGCTCTTGGGTGCCATCATCGAAAAATGCTAAATGGTATTAACTTGTCTGATATGATTTGAGGGCCAGGTGATGTGGTCATCTTAACAAATTAACGCAAATCGTTATAACAAATAATCATCAATCTTATGGACAATATTAACAGTTGGATAAGACAAGCAACATTTTATCTATTGAAATTGGAAAAAACTATTATATTTTAGAACTAAAGTTTCATCTAGACAAATTTTGTTTAGTAGTTAAGGAAACCCTCAGCAATAAAGACATCAATCTTAATATTTAACTTCTTACTATATAAAAAGAAAGAAGAAATAATGTTTAGATGAATGGATGGATGGATGTTTGAAGGTATCAATAAAGCGGTTGAACGGATCTCGATGAATTTTGCCATACATATAGAACATAGTGTGGAAGAACAAATTATGTGTTTTTTTCTTTTAATTCCACGCGGACGGAGTCGTAGGCGACAGCTAGTATATAAATAATGACAAAAGAAATATCAGTTAGTCTTTATTTTAATTTTATTTATCGTAATAATATAACTTTAATGCATATAACAAGAAAGCATGCGTTATTAAAATTCACGCTTTTGTTATTACCTTTACGTCACATTAAAAATGTTATAATAGAAAATTGTGATCTTGCGTGTGTGTGTAAAAACTGTTGCCAGTTGTAATATACGATGAATTAAAATATATAAATTGCTTATATGCAAATTTAATATTCACTGGTCATGTACATCCCCACCAAAGCTAGATCCTAGCCTAAATCAGGAAGGTAATTTACAATTACAAAACTAGATTAGTATTAATCTTCACTTTATCATCATGTATTATTCCTAGCTTATTATTAGTCTAAATTGTTAGCTGTTTTTACGAGGATGTGGAATATCTATTTATTATATGCTACGTTAAATTTTTATTGTTTAGTGGTTATATTTGTCACTTAGAACCATATCGTCCAGATTTATGAGTAACTCAAGAAAGACGGTATAAGGAGAAGAAAGACGAAACCGACTGTGTATCCGTAGATGTATGAATTGTTAGGAAGAATTTCCGACTCTGTGTCGTGTACTGGCGCAATGCTAACCTTACTAAAATGTCGACGTTTATGTCGCCTCACTAATTATTCTGACACTTGATTTTGTAATGAAAGCGCGCCATTCACGTAAAAGGATTCTAACTAATAATGTCTAAAAGAATGAAGAAGCGAGAGAGGTTGCCAGGACCTCCCAAATGGAGATTTGTGGTGTTCGCCTACCAATTTTAGTTACGGGCGTGAGTTATGTTGTTAAATTTGTCAATATCAGTGTATAAGATTCTCTACCGAGCCCTGATAATAACTGGTTTCATTTTACATTTCAAGTATCTGTGGCAACCTGGAACACGATATCAATTGCGATTTGTCGATAACAGTTGAGCTCTTATCTTCTTATCAATTTTGCTTTATGATTTGTTTAATATTAATTTCCAAAGATTTCAGAATTCTTAATCCAAATTTACTTTTTATATTTAAAGATGTCAAACAAGCGAGCGGCCACCTGAAATTACTAAAATAGCGAAGCAACCGTTGCCCATAGACATACGCATTTGCACATGCGTTGCCTATCCGTAATTCACAGACCAAAGAGAATATTTTCCCATCCCATGTATTCTCTCATCCGGAAAATCTACTTTCACTTCCCATCCTTTTCTTATGAGAAAAAGGGTGGAATAGGTAAGAGGACTAAAATTAGGCCTCCGATACCACACTCATCAGACGAAACACGGAATTTCTTCCACTTCACACCTGTCTTCATTGTGGTCGTAATATTTCACTGGACGAACCGACCAATTCGTGCAACAACGTTAAAGCGGGCTCTACTACTGCTAACTTTTGTTATCATGTTGATGTATAACATGGATTAAATATATCTAGATTTATATGCAGCAATTTTTTTCAACAATGTCACCTATAAAAATACTAAAATAAACACCGGCCACGCGTTTTTATCGAAAAAACGTCAAGCCAATGGAGCGTACCAATGATAACGTTGTAATTTGGAAACGTAAATTACCAAACAATTTCCTGATTACAAATTGCATTGGCATTTATCAAATTTTTACCAAAGTTTGCTCCCAAAACAGATCTTATAGTATAAAGAGGAAAAACATCAAGCGCCCACTTAAATTCGGAAAATAGAGATGTTTGTACTGTTGTACCGAACGCCTAAAAAAGGCTATATCCCTTTTATGTAACGACCCCTCTCCTGTTTAATCCACCTCCCCTTCCTTACAAGAAAAGGCTGTGAAGGAGAAGAGTTGTTGTTGCAGTCTACCACCGTTAGAGTTTGTGTTGAATGGAAATCTCTTCAGAAATTTGAAAAATATATTTTTAAAAATTTCATCATCATACATCTGAAATTTATTTTCAGCCTACTATTTTTTTTCTACTTACAATAAGGTTATTTTATTTAATATAATTTCACCAAATATATACATAAAATAATGCAAAAATGACAAGAAATATAACCTTTCTATTATACATGTGTTTTTAATATATTGTCTTTGATAAATGCTCATTGTCTCCGGTTGGTATGTATCAAGCACCGCATCTCAATTCCGCCAATCTATTTTAATTGTCTCATAACAAGTCCACGCCTCATGGTCATACTTGTCTCGTGAGACCACTTTATATTTTACATCATAAGCATAGTATCGTAAGCGTAATTTTAAAAATAATTCACTAGTTTGCGTGTTCATTAACATTTAAAAAACGGATGAGGTTCATTTAGAGTATGGAATAGAATTATTTATAGTTTCATTTTATATGTTTATAATGTGTTATAATGTTCGATATTTTATCAGTCAAGTGAAAAGGTATAGTTAGGTATAGATTCTTTATGAGATGGTTTACAATTCAACTTATTTTTAATATGATTTATTGAAAAGCTTAAGTACAATTAAAAAGCTTCATAGAATAATTCAACAGAACACGCGAATGTAAAAAGGAAACTTAGGGTGGTCCTTTAATAAAGCCTAGAAATAGCCATCGTGTTAAATGATGAATGTAGGAATAAGAAATAAAACTAGCATACACATAAAAACATACAAAAATCGCAAATAGTGTTCAACGCTAAATGGTTTTCTTTAGATTATGGTAAGGCTCGCGGGTAACTAATACCTTTGCCTCATAAGGAAACAAGGCCTTAGTGCATTGTACCATCGGTAATTGGATCTAGTTTTCCTAGCTTACACAATACTATGAGCAAGAAAATATCGGAAATATCGTGGTTATTTCTTGTGTAGACTTCTTTGTATGTGGCCGAGTGATTTTTTTACCTTCGTGGATTAATTGTAAATTATATATGTAAATAGTATGCATAAAGTGTTAGGTTGTAGATGTACACCGGACACATAAATTTGTTTATAAGATCCAATCACTTTTCCATTTCCGTAATATAGATTTATACGGTTAAAGACTGGCACCACATTTTTTATGGATACATTTGACATAATGGATCTGACTAAATGTTTTTGTTATTGTTTACAAAGTTTGCTTTGTATTGTTTCAGGATAGAGGAGTGCCGAGTGGGTCCGCAGGATGCCGATCGCACCGCGCGGCCCTCCGCCCCTACCTATACCGCCGAACCGTCGACGATACCGTAGGATACCTATCTCGACTCGCAAGTGCCCTTAAATAGAATAGTGTAATCTTTTTTACGCCACTTTTACACCGACCTAATTAAATTTAAGTAATAAGATAGAATACGCACAGTGGTAGTGTATCTTTAAATTATTGAAACGCGCGCGAGTGTGTAAGTGTGCCGATGGTGCGGCCGACATGGGAAAGTCCTCGGCGAGAACACATGGTCAAGGTGAGTGGATTCTATAACCTCTATCAAACCACAGTCGAACATCTGCGCTGCCAAGGTCGATCGAACGATTTATTATGCTTTAATGATGTACCACTGTCTCGGTTTTTACCTACAAATACAAATTTATAATTATGGATATTTCAATGTTTAAATATCAAACGTAATGGTCTTTTTATGAAAAGAAAGCTTATGGACTAGTAAGTAGTACTTAACAGTGGTAGAGCCCGCTTTAACAACTTCGCACGAATTGGCCCGGCTCGCCCGGTGTAATACCACGACCACACAGAAGACAGGCATGAAGTAGAAGCAATTCCACGTTTCGGCTGATTAGTGTGTGTCCCGGAGGCCTAATTTAATCCTCTTTCCCTTCCCACCCTTTTTCTTATAAGGGAAGGATGGGAAGTGGAAGTGGACTTTCCGGATGAGAGGATGCATGGGAAGGTAAAATATTTTCTTTCTGTGCATCCTCTCCTCCGTCGATCGAAGGTAGGCAACGCATATGCAATTGCGTATGTCTATGGGCAACGGTCACTTCGTTATTTCAGCGATTTCAGGTGGCCGCTCGCTCGTTTGCCACCTTATGTTAAAAAAAGAAACAAAGGCAGGTATTCCCCATCGCTATCTTTTGTTGCTTGCAAGATAAGTTCAATGCAGGAATAAGTTGTGACAGAATATCTCTGTAAGAACAAAACTACTTTTTAAAATATTTAACATCCGTTTAATTGATTACGTATGTTATCGCTCAAGGTAACACAAAGTCTTCAAAGTTTTTGAAACTAAACGGTCATCGTTGAATATTCTATTTAAGAAAATTAAAAACATAGTTGACGAATACCTAATAGGCTGTTGAATTTTGATTGCCTTAGGATAAGAAAATGTTCATCTTGAAGCTCGGATTGAAAACTAGATGGCGTTGATGTGCATCCATAGATTGTCCAACTGAACATGATCACGATTAGTGCATAAATATGTAAACAATACTGGACTATTGTCGTCTTTACACGAATAAATAAATAAGATTTATGAAAGTGTACTCACTAGGACACACGACAATGGAATCGTAAATAACTTGTATATTTTAACGTTTTTTATTATTTATTAGTTTAAGACATATTAAATACCATTTCTCGCTTCAGCCATTACTATCGGAGCGTGGACATGGTTATAGACGATATTAGGGGCGGTTAAAGAGAATCAAAGAAAAAGATAGATGCTTCCAGTCTCTATAGATCTATTTTAATAACTCAAAAACAATGATATTTTTTTTTATATAAAAAAAAGAAACATGACAATCAGACAACTATGAGCGGAGTTATAAAGTAATAAAAAAACATACGTATGAATTAGGATCTCCACCTTTTTGAAGTCGGTTAAGTCATTGTAAGATGAAGTTAGTTTAAAGCTCCGTTAAAGTTTATTGAACTATAACCAATGCTACTCACGTTTGATTTAGGTCATTTCAAATGTATAGTAATTTACTTATCTTAGCTATTTATTTAAATAGGTTAATGTTTTTTTGTTGCTGTAACTTAATTGCATGTTTAAGATGGCAACACCAAAAGTTTAACATAAGTAAAATAATTAATAGTTTTTTACTTGAAGTTAGCATTAATTTTTATTTATTTTTGCCTGCTCATTAGTGCTGTACGAAATTGATACGATGTCGATAAACATTTAAATGTTGACAAAGCCTTTGTCTTGATGAATTGAATTTAAAAAGAAAACTTTTTGCCTATATATCACTAGCTGTCGCCCGCGACTCCGTCCGCGCGGGATTAAAAGTAGATGGCCGATTCTCAGACCTACTCAATATACTCACAAAATTTCATGAGAATCGATCAAGCCGTTTCGGTGGAGTATGGGAACGAAAATTGTGACACGAGAATTTTTTATATAAGATTAAAATGTGATGCACGATGAAGTAAACAAAAGAATGAATAAAAAAACTTATATACTATTACTTAGCTTTAGATGTGATAAAAACCGCATAAGTCACGATATGCTTGTACATTTTTTATTTAATTGGCATCCTTGTTTAAGCGACTGAATTAAGTTAATTTACTGCAAAAATGTCTTGTAAAATAACATTAGCATATTCTTATCTTCGTTGCGGATGGCGAAATGAGAAAAAAAATTGTCTTATTGTTATTCTATTGAACGTCGTGTTCTTGAGACAACTCAATTGACATTATTTTAACGTTTTATCTTGTTTTACATACATATAAATTGTAAAAACATATGTCTGCAAATTGTCGCAGTTTCTGGAAAACTAGTTGATCTTTTTGTCACTGGGCTTGTTTTCTTAAACTTAATATCGGTGCGTTGCAATTATTCTGAATCTTTTTCTCTAAAAATTGATGCCAATGCTATGAATTGGGAATATGTAAAACAGCATTGTCTGTTATATTTTATTGTTAAATTATTCTATTGATTTTCATAAGAACAGATTTAATAAAATAAGTTTCTAGTGTAAAATTTTCCCTAATTTTGTAAGGACAGTGCAAGCCTCACCTCAATAAATTGCACGTGTGTATCAGTGTTCAGGAAATCTCCATTGTTATAGGATAGTTTGACTATTTACACAGAGACAGTGTGTACCTACACTGGCACTGTGTAGAGTCCTCGTTCGGAGGATAAGTCGTGTGAAGCTTGGCACTAAAAACACAGCCATGTCTACAGCCTAACGCTCCGCTTTGGGTTGCCAGTCTGATATTTTTGAATCCCCAAATTTTATTTAAAGTAAAACACATGTCGTTGATAGATTTATAAACAAGTAGCCTAAAAGACAAGATATCGCAATAAACATATAGCAAAATTAGATGTAACTAAAATATAAATAAAATTATACTGGTAAAGTAATTTATTTATCAGTAGTAATTAATATCAGATTTTAACTACTTTTGTCTGCTAATAGTTGAGATATTATCTATCTTGTTTCTTTTTTAAAACAAAAAATTAGGTAAAAACGGTTGTTATGGTAACCCTGTGATGCGCGCGCCGTCGCGGAGCGCTAGTAGGTATTCAGTATGTGTATGTGGTGTGGCTGTCGAGTATCGGCCCGGCGGCGGGCCGGAGCGCGCGTGCGACACGGTGGCGGAGCGCGGTCGCGGGCGGGGCGGGGCGCGGCATGGCGCGGTAGCGGCGCGGATGTGCGCGCGCTCCGACGCCGTGGAGCTGGAGGTGCTCGGCGCGGAGGGCGGCGAGCGCGTGCCACCGCGCCCGCTGCGCCGCTCGCTGCTCGGCCTGCTCGGCAAGCTGGTGCGCCGCGAACAGCCCGTGCCGCGCCGCAACCGGCACAATCATCGCTTTCGCACATTCGTCTCCTGCGGTCCGTATTATCTCACCACTTGTGTCGCTTACTCTGCCGTGTTTGCTATCATTATTTTGTATATTTTTGTAATTGGTGAAGAGTATCGTGGTGCGATTGGCACGCCAACCAAGGTCGTAAGCATCGCTCTCTCACATACGGTCATTGGCCGGGGCGGCGGCGCTTCGCGTATTGCCGCGCGTGTTGAGTAGTTATTGATTATAAATTCCGCTGATATTTCTGCGTGAAATTCAGATTTCAATCGTCTCGGTATGAATGAAACTGGTCGTACAATATGCACATTAATCTGTATAAAGTATGAGTCATTCAATTGGTACTGTATTGTATCTATGACGTGATCTAACTCTAATTTCGTATCACTACATTGATAAAAGTGTAATGTTTGCATGTGTATCTTCATGATCTTAAAACTTATATAACATGTAGACATGTAAACACAAGAAGCTTATTAGCGTTTGCTGAAGATAGGTCCGTCTCATTAAAAGTAGCTTCTTAAAAAAAATTCGGTGCTCTCAAGTCGAGAATTGAGGCCAGCGTTGTATGCCTTGTAGATAATTAGAAATCGATATGAACCGCATCTCACTGCTTCTCTTTTATTTCTAATAATAATGGTAACTATATGTAAGTGTTCTGACACACGCTACAATCACATGACAAACATTACCAATTATCGAGATTAGGTAAACCATAGAATTAACTACAGTTTTTCGTATATTTACTCACCAGGAGTATGCAAAATGTGATTATATCTATATGATGTAATCTCCTTCCTGTTTTGTCATTCTGTTCGATTTAATGACAGACCTTAACCAAATTCTGTGACTCTCGGTTACAACACAGTAGAAATCATATTCAAATAAAAGGTAAAAATTTTCTGATGCGTGAGTTCAGATTTTCGGAACAAGAAGGGGGTGAATTTCATAAATTCAGGAGATATAACGGCTGATAGAGTTGTATGGAGTAATACATACTTTGTCGACTTCGAGTAGGTTGTTTATAGAATGGATATTTTGATGTTTAATCCTCATTTCAAACGTTTTATTTTCAATTATTGTTCTAATAATTTAACACGTAGCCGCTAAATTTAGCAGGCGATTATTATCATGCTTCAACTCGGTAACTCACGTAACTATTAGGGCTGGCAAATATTTTCGTACTGTATTTTTCCATGTCAGAATTCTAACATCCTTTGTCCTATGAATACCCTACATTAAATATTATGAAATTAATAATGTAGAGCAAAAAGTATAGACAGAATAAATGTAAGCTACAAATGTTTTGTTTTAATCTAAGCATGATATGTAAATGTTTCTCGTTTGTGCGCAGTTTCCTGACTGCGCACGCATTACTTTCCAATAATGAAAGGGTATACTCAGAATGTCTACGTAAAAAGTAAAATATCATTTTTAAAAAGTAATCTTGATAAATTTTACCTTTGTTTCCTTAGCGCTTCATGTCTAATTTTTCTCTAATTAATTCGATGACATACATATATAGATCGACTGTTTACGAAAATCGTAATGACTCATCAATTAGTTGTGAAATATACACGTATGTCAATAAGTTAATTTTATCAAAATTATTTCATTCTACGCATTCATCAGTGGGCAACCCTATTTCGCGTAGAAATATAAAATCCCTTTGAAATATGATTTTACTAGACGTGCCCCAG